ATTTCATTTTATCTATAGAAAACTCACATTAAGTGTTTTCTTATGTAGGTAAAAATCTGTTCAACAACCTGTTAAAATACACCAGAACGCAGGAAATGACATTTACTTCTTTAAAATTTTCTGGGGGAGGACCCCCAGACCCCCTACCAGTGGGTCCCCCCAACATTACAAATACTTACTCTGGTTTTTTGTCTCTGAATGTTATAAAATCAGTGATATTATCTGTGAAATTACAAACTGAACATCTGTTGGTGAATCCATAGCTTTATATTGTCATAGTTTTCAGTTAGTCATTTTTACAAACACATCATAAATTGTCTGTTATAGATATTAGAGATATTAGTTTTGGTGTGCCACCCCTGGTTTTTCAGTGGCCCCCCCATGGCCCCTCCCTGAAAAAATCTTCTGCAGGCGCCACTGTGTTTCACCTCCCATAAACCTACTGTAGCTCCATGTGAAGGTGTGCACAGTGCAAAGTGTTCCTGTGTGTTTCAGGTGGTCCACCCAGGTGTCAGGAGGCAGGTGGAGATAGACCTGCTGCTCATGAAAGCAGGCAGCTGGCTTCTGCACCGCCTGCCTGGACTCAAATGGCTCAGCTTGTGTGAAGTCGTGGAGGAATTTGAGAAGCTCATGACCAAACAGGTGGTTATATAAATTCAGTTCTGCAGCCATGTATGACACAAAGCAGCCGCATGTGTCTTGTGTCAAAGCCAGACTTGATCCATATCTTCCAACAACTTGAATCAATGAGCTTCTTGGAGTTGGACTTTTCACATTTTGTTCAGGTGACTTAAAAATGTTCTTCCAGATCGATCTGCGTTTTGAGGCCAGAAACATGGAACGTTTCAGAGAAAACTTCCGCGACGTCGACTACGTCAAGTTTCCAACTCCGTTAAAACCGTTTGTGACCAGAAACATTTTAGTGGAAACCTTTGAGGTGAGTTTCTGAGAGTAAAACTGACTCCTGAAGTATTACATGATGATTTCATAAAAAGATCAAACAAATAAATCCATGTCCCTTTTTTCTTTTTGTTAAGGAAAGTGAGCTCATTTCTTTCTACCTGAGTCCTGTGATTCCTAAAGAGGTGAAGCAGAAAATCGCCAGAATTGGAGTGGACACCCTGCTGAAGATGGTAAGATACACCAGTGTTTCCCCTAGGAAACTGGTTTTGGCGGGGGGGACGCTACTTGTTTGTTGTTGATAAGCCTGAGGGGTCTGTTGACTGACCTTTGTATTTGTTCAAATAATAGTTATGGGCAGGTTACAATATAAAAATGTTTGTTATAATCATGTCTTGTGATTATTTGACNGTGCAGAGACATCGCAGGAGGACCTCTGTGGAGCGCAGCACCGAGGACGGTCTGTTTTATGATTTTAACAGAGTTGCTGGTTTTGTGTACATGTGTGCAAACTACCAGTAAGTGATTTGGTTTTCTGTTTCTTGTTATTTTGGTTGTTTGTATGAGTGTGGACTGTTTGAGATATTGCTGCACGTGTTGTGACCTTCACCATGGCGCAGTTTGCTGCCTTTAATTAATGCCATATGTGTTGCTTATGGGATGGAAATGCTTGAATATTATCAATAATATGTTTAGTAGTCCCAAATGTTTACTTCCTTGTGGTTTTTTGATGTTTATTTTTGTATTCGAATATTTGCCGAATGTCTCAGCAATTAATATTAATAATGCAAGTTGTAGCCTAAATTACTGTAGGTAGGTAGGCAATTGGATGAATGCCACACTTTAATTGTTGGTACATATTTATTTTGGGATCTAAATTTCAGAGTTATTCTATTATCACTATGTATTGCTATAATCCTTTATTATTTATTTGAGAGACTTGTTATAGTCTAATTTATATCTGTATATTGTTTATTTGTTTCTGTTACAGAACCACATATACACACTTATGTGTACTGACCTTAAGAAAATAAAGAAAAAGAAAGAAAATTATAGGACATCTTTAGTGTACCTGAGTGAAGTTGCACCCCCACCCCCCCCTTCCACCACCACCACCACCTTCTTCAAATCAGACAAAATGGGTGTCAATCAACTCGGCTACATTTGTGCTGGTTTGTGCAGCAAAAATTTTCATTTGTGCTGCTTTGGCTTTGAAGTTATCAATGAAAGCGTAAAGGTCAAAAGGTCAACCAAGTCCCCCCACTTTTATGAAATCAAACAAAATTGGTGTCAAATGTTTGTGCTATGTTTGTGCTGGTTTGTGCAGCAAAATTTTTTGTTTGTGCCACTATCATTTTAGAGATACAAAGAAGTGTTTCTAGAGGTCACCCAAGGTCAACCAGCCCCCCCACCTTCTTCAAATCAGGCAAAATGGGTATCAATCAACTCGGCTACGTTTGTGCTGGTTTGTGCAGCAAAAATTTTCATTTGTGCTGCTTTGGCTTTGAAGATATTAAAAGAAAAGTTTCTAGAGGTCATCCAAGGTCAATGAACACCTTTTCATTGTGAAACTGTGAATTTTATTTAAATTACAAGTTGATAACCTATGAATATGAATAATTAAATTTTAACCTGGAAGAAATTCAAACTAGGTCTTATTTAGAATGAACAGGTAGGTACAACCATAGACATAATATAAGGATGGACGCCTCATGGACCGCTCTCGCCTATTGTTGCTGACAAGATTTAGGGCGGCCATCTTGGAGCGGTCCACTGCTTCACGCTTTCACCAAGGAGCAGTTCTGTTTCGTGTAAGCTCCGCCCTCTAAGGCTATCGCAGATGGGTACCCCCACGCGCGCTCGCGCATTCTGAAGAACCAGTAGTCCACGCCCACGTGTCGTGGGCCTCACCTCGGTCCGTATAAAAGGGGAGGACGGACCTGAGTTCAGCTCCCCTTTTTCTTCAGCTTCGGCATTCGACATGTAACCATAGAAGACGCCCATACATGTAAGTGCTATGATTCTTTTATATTGACATGGAATTCGTGCCCGGCGCCACTGAGCTATGATCCGCGTAGCCGTCCTTCCGGGCTGCTCGGGGATCGGTTTTTCCCCGGCACAACCCGTTTTTTCACTCCGGTCTCCTTCCTCGGAAGAAGGTTAATCGTGGTTTAGCTAGCATATATTTTCCCGCGGGTGCCCCCGCGGTGCGGTATTATGCTAAGCTAAGGCGCCGGACATCTTCGTGCCTCCACAGAGTCCCCGTTTTTTATAGCCGCTACTAACTCACTCGTTACACGGATGTGGTAGCTAGTAGTTAAGGCCTTCAGACATCGACATTTTCAGCCAGGACTGGACTGGAAGCTTTCCCAGATATTTCGGATCATGCGCTTCTCATCTCGGCATGGTCTGAGCTATCTTCTCCGGGGACGGAGGCTCAGGCTAGCGGGTTTCCTGCCGGAGATCACGGCGGCAAACTAGCTAAGCCAGTTAGCCACCTAGCTAAGCTAAGCAGTGCGCTAGTCTCAGCGTTTTTGCGCCGAACTGTACCCCGCTTTTCAGTCGAGAAGCTGGAGTCAGGGTGCTGCCGCCTGGTGTAGCTTCTAGCCACGGACGTGCCATGTAGCTTGACCAGGGCAGTTGCAGACTGCTGCTAGCTGGTTTGTAACACATGATGTGTTGGCTGCTATTGGCTCGCTCGCAACACGGAGGTGTTAGCTAGATGGCTTAAGGCATTCTGTGGTCGTGCTCCCAGCCAGGACTGGACTGGGAGTTCACCCAGACCGTTTAGCCAAGATGGGTTTTGCCCCTAGCATGGAGATGCTAGCTGCAATGCTAGGAGTTGCTTACTCCAAGCTGAAAGCTCCGGTCTCGTTCCACGCGGACGTGACAAAGTGGAGGGGGTGACTGTCTTCGGCTCTTGCCGGTCCCAGTACTGGAATCTTCATCCTCCATGGTCTTCGTCACTGAGGTGAAGCGGTCTGCCGGATGGCGACTTTTTCTTCTCACAAGCGGTAGACCAGCAGCTTGGCAGCTGGGCCGACCGGTCCCGTCATCGTACGGCACAGTCGGGTGCTGCAACTTGCAACATCACTCCCCAGGCTGTCATCTTAAAAACGCGACGGGACCACAGCACAGAGGCCAGCACGAGTTTGAATCTCTGTGCTGTTTAGGCCGGGTGTGCGTCCTGCATCGTGGTTTGGAAACAGGAGAAATGTGTATGGCTAAGGCTAGGTCCGCTAGTCTGAAACTAGCTGGCCTCTGGTCCTTGCTAAACACAGTTTGAATCTCTGCGCTGTTTAGGCCTGGTGTGTGTCCTGCATCATGGTTTGGAAGCAGGAGAAATGTGTATGGCTAAGGCTAGGTCTGCTAGTTCTGAAACTAGCCGGCCTCTGGTCCTTGCTAAACAGTCACACACAAAAACGTCTTCTCCCACCGTTACACATTCGGTGGCCCGTTCGGCCCCTTCGTGGCCGGCAAACACACACACACACACTCTTCTCTTCACCCCGCTGGTGAACAGCGGACATAAGACAGACAGCATGAGCCACATCACAAGCAGGGGTGTGTCACCCTCCCGCTTCGTTTCAGCATGAGTCCACCAATCACAGCCACGCGATGAGCGCTGTGTTTTGACTCCACTGAAACTCGCCTTAACTCATGCTCACGTACGGCCCCGGAGGCAATCCCTCCCGGGCCGCATTCATAACGACGGCACGCAGGGCTCCCCGGAGCTCCTGCACAGCCCCTTCGAGCAAAGCCTCCCATGGGTCACACGAGAGAGCGTGACGGCGGCGAAGGCTCTGCATGGACCGGTTGCTACGACAACCGTTCTACAACAGGCGCATGCGCTAGCTCTCTCAGAGCGCAGCTCCGTCTGGGTACACACCTGTCCTCTGGACAAGTGGATGAAGCGCTTGATAAAAAAATGGGTTACAGGTTGCAGTTTGCAACCAAGCCTCCCCGTTTTTCAGCAGGATCCTGGAGACCCACTTGTCGTCTCCTCAGCAGGATCTCGCTCTTCAAGCAGAGCTTCAGGAACTCCTAAACAAGGAAGTCATTTCCAGAGTTCCAAGTGGGAAGGAATACGAGTGTTTTTATTCCCGGTATTTCCTTGTTCCCAAAAAACGGGTGCAATGAGACGGATCCTGGATCT